ACATATGAATGAAAAGAAAACTTGATACTATTCATGCACATTTTAGAAATCTCTTAGCAAAAAATAAATTAAGTTATGTTCTCCTCACACGTGTAAAATCGATCAGTGATTAATCTTTTCCTCTGACCATTAGTTGCTAAATTTGGGCCTGATTGGAAAGGTGTATACATATAATAAGAGCATCCCAGGTAAATGCCCAGTGGAAGGGGTGGTTCTTACAGAACTGATTGTGTTGACTGAAGATGCTCCCAGAAAGATCATTTGAGTAGAGTGACTGAAAGGATTGTCAGTTGTTTGGTTGATCCAAAATTTCCAAAGGGTATGCTCAACGTGAGCATTCCTAATGACCATCAGCGCACAACTCGCAGAGGAAATCGAATTTGTACAGAATTAAATGTATCCCTGGCTCTGGCTAATCTATGTGGTGTGGTGAGGTGAGGAACTGACGCTCTCGGCAGAATTAAAACTTTTTTGAAGAGGCTGCATCAGTAAATCTAACCCGAATCTGAACCAAAACTCCGGAACGGTATGTGTTCACAAACATGCGTTTTCTGAACNCCCCTAGGAGATTCTTCCGGGAGGACGCGATTCTCACTGAACCGACCGGGAGCACGGTTTATTCTGAACTACAACTTTTCATGAAAAACAAAAATTTCAAAGGAATACGCGTCGCATTATCATTATGGACCTGATGCCATTATAATTCTGCTATTTTCGTTGGCAAGGTAAGGTGAAGAAATTTATCTCTCCGCGAATGTGAAGCAATTTCGACCGTCTCACTGAGTCTGACACTTCAGAGTGGGTCGAACTTTTTGTAATTTATGGACTCCAGTCACAAAGATTCTTAGTCATAAAAAGTGTTAGTCATTCTTATAATGAAATAGTTTCGGGTTATATTCATCGAAAGGAAATTTCAGACTGTTTGTAATAATCTTTGTCCCTGTCACATAAGAAGGAGAAGAGCCCGGTGTAGCTGGGCTATACGAGTGGTATATATAAAGCGCTAACTTCGCATACATACAAACCGCTAACTTTGTGTAACTGTTTGTATGCCCGTTTGCTCGTCCTCCCGAAAGTCACCTAGGCACGTGATTATGAACTGATACTGATACTGATAGTGATATTGGTGTGATACCATTAGGATTTATTTATGACGTCACAGATTAAAAAAACAACTCGCCTCCCACGACGCAGGACAATTAAACCCTTACGAACTAGAGGAGTTTAGGATGGAAACAATTCCACGATCACCTATCAGTGTCAAGAGATCAATGCCCACAAAGCCGCATCAGATCGCTCAAATTAGGGAATATCACCTAATTCTCATACACCAAATGTTCTTCTGGCTATTTACCGTCATGGCTAAATCTATATGACAGCTCACCATATGTGAAGCGCATGCGTCTAATTGTTTGTTTGTTTACCGTCATTTACCGGCTTATACTATGGAGGATTCATCTATCCGTTCGCAGCCATCTGAGGGAGGAGAAAGGTTAGGCTTCGTGAGCCAGGAAATCTTTTTGCTCACAAAGGGTTTTCACTGAAAATACCTTGCGCATTTGACCAATTTTCCAGACTAGACGCATAGCTTCCCATAGAAACATAATCGGAAATCCATAGAATTCTAATCTAATCGAAAGTTCTAATATTAAATGTGAATTTCGTTCATAGATGCGCACCCATTGAAATATCCACTCCACAATACCTCAGTAGCTAGATGAACGTTTTTCCAAATTTGGAATTTAGACGAAATCTATATGACAGCTCACCATATGTGAAGCGCATGCGTCTAATTGTTTGTTTGTTCGTTCAATTGTACAGAAATTCGATATTACCTCAGGAAGCACCTGCATAAGTCGGGTCACGTTCGGGATGGATGGGGCATAGAGCAAGATCAAAAAACGCGTCTGAGCTCACCATCCACAGGACTGTGTGATGTCATGGGCATCTGCCTGTTTGTACGGAATTCATAACTTCTGTTCCCGTGGACCTAGGACGTTCGAACTTGGTAGGAGCACAGGCGGCAGGATGGGAACACATATGGTGGGTGGCAGGACCAACTGCGTCCACAGGGGGCGAGGTTTGTGCGAAATAAATGTTTCAGCGGAAAATCATGAATCATATCTCAGTGGACCAAGAAAGTTCAAATCCCGAGGCAGGGTGGGAACACTAACACTGGGTGGCAGGATCGGGCCACAGGGGGCGGGGCTTGTGCAAAATAAGTGTTTCGGCGGAAAATCATGAATCCTATCTCAGTGGTCCTAGAAAGTTCAAATTTGGCAAGAATACCGGAGGCAGGATGGGAACACTAACAGTGGGTGGCACGATCGGGCCACAGGGGACGGGGTTTGTGCCAAATATGTCAATTTGGCCCTAGGCGTTCAAACTTGGCAGGAGTATATGCGGCAGAATGGGAACACTTATGGTAGGTGGGAGGACCGGACCCCGCTCACTGGGGTGGGGTTTGTGCGAAATAAATGTCTGAGCGAAAGTCCATAACTCTTGATCCTGTGCACTTAAAAAGCAAAATCAATAGTAGCAGAGGGGGCAGGATGGGAACATAGTCAACCGATACTGTTCACCAGCCTGGCCGCCCAGCTAACGCCGGGCTTCCCTCCTTCTTATGGTGTCGACCGGCTTCGCCGGGCGCTTTTCCTGCCTGTAAGAAATTTGCTATGCGTAAATAACACTTCGGATTCTCCTTTTTCTTTGA